GAGGGAGAAATTGATGAAAAATTACAAAACAGGTTCTCCACTTCTCAACGAGTTTTTTGTCCTTAAACGCCTAATTTGGATAATTCATGGGATGTTAATCGACACTGTTCATCGCGTCTGCATCACATGATGATCGAACTCAAGTATTTCTGCCTCTTGGGCATTCTCGGAGAATCCAAGTGGTTCGGGGAAAAAATCACGAGCCAGGGAGTAACTACGGTCGAAAAATCGTTGGGTCGTTAGACGATCCAGCGGATTTCCCACGCGTGGATCACGACAGCATCAGTCGCGCGCATGAGAATATGGACCACCACAATGACTGTGCGCAGGTTCAAACGATACGGTCTATATTTGAAACAACACTTTATTCACGTAACTCGCGAACGATCACGGTATAGACGATTGTTAACTCTGACACATACCAATGAACTTTATCTATTCACTTGTCCTCGAAATGAATAAACGATGGAGTACAAATGAAAGGACCAACGACCCGAGCAGTCGCGTAACCGAGTGCGTCTGGCAAGCCGGATGAGGGCTGAGAAAAACCGTGGCGAAGAAGCGGCTCGACGTTTAAAGATGAGCGGGAAGGGGCGGGGGGGAATATAAGGAACATGAGAAATGAACGAGACGGAGAGTGGAGTTGCCCCGGTGGAAGGGGGATGGATGGATGAAAGAGAGAACGATTGAAAAGAGAGGTGGGGCAACGTAAAACGAGCGCCTTCGGTGTAGCAAGGCGCTCACGCTTGGAATGCGCCTGGGTTCTCTCACCCCCTCTTGGTTCGCCTTCACTCGGTGGGGACTCATGGTGGGCCCCAAGAGAGGGGCCGAGGAGTTTCGAATGAAGGGGGAGGGGCAGCATGCGAACCTTTGGGTAAGGAGTTCAGGTAGAGACTTGGTCGTTTTTACATTCTTGGGTACAATTCTCATCGTTTGAACTGTTTGTGGGGCCCCGAGACGGTTTTGCGTGTGTTGAGGGCCCAATTGGGACACCCACACGCGGGTTCAAGGAGTCGGGGAAGCAACGCCATCGGGCGGACCTGACGAGGATAAGGCAGGTTGCGCGGGCGGACAATGCAGATCCCCGTTGCCAATTCCTGGTAAGTGCGCGGGTGGAGTAACTCGACGAGGGTAAGGTGTGATTGAGGAAGGTAATCTCAAGTGGCCCCAAATAGTAATTTCTACCGATGACACAAGACGGCGCCTCTGGAATTACACTCTTCCCCTCCGCCAGTTCTCTGTTCGCTTCCCCCTTACTACTCAATTCCTCTACCGTCGCGATTGCTCCAAGCTGTGGTGGCTGTGGAAGATGCACTTCTACGAACTCGAGAAGGGATGGGATGAATCCGTTTTTAATTATTAAAATTTAGAAATTGCAGGCTGATGCGAAATGCCCACATCATGAGAAACAAAAAATCAATGTCAATATGAACATTATGGAGATTTCCCGGGCGTTTTTCAATGGATTTTTTTTATAGTAAGAAATCTATAGATGTTTATTTTTCTATATCACTCATTCTGTTGGGAATTTCTCTATGAAAATTCTTGGGTCTGAATTTTTCAAATCCTTTCCCTCGATTTCATTAACATGAAAAGGAAAAATAGAACCTACGGAGGAATTGACACAGAAACCAGGTGAATAAATGAGGAAAATCAATTTTCAACCTGTTGATATAAGACCTCCCTGTTTCTTCTCAAACTCTTTTTTTGCTTCTCTTTCTCACCTTTTGCCAGAAGACTTCAACATGTGGTAACATGCTGTACATTCTGTCTCTTTGTCGTATTTCCCTTTCGCTTGATTTTCTATCCTCCATATTTGTTAATATACTTTTCCAAAACACCTTTAACTAGGCACCAAGATTTTCACGTGAAAATCACTGAGTAAGTTGGTATTTTCTTTGGGCTTCAAATGACGTTTCGTTTGAGCAAGTAAAATGGAACGCATTTGCGCATTTTATTTAGCCCTAATCATAATGATTCATTGTATTAGCATCGTTTAATTTGCGGCTTGGCGAGAGGATAGGGGAAATGAGGCGATAAGGGAATTCAAGGCAGCAACCAAGCAAGGCCAAGCAATTGGGAGGGGGAAGTCCAACCGTATCGTGGGGCCATCTCACAGATTTTCCGAGGAATACTTTTTGAGGACAGACTGGAGAACAGTGCTTGAGATTATCTTCCTCTATCATACCTTTGGCGAGGGTGGAAAACCTGCAGGAAGGGGGAATCCCCGGTAGGTGACGTTCGCCGTCAGCGCTGGTCGATTGACCTTGTTGAGGTGAATTATTTCAATGAAATCCTCCGGTTTCTCCTTCTGTTACGGTTATTCGATAAGGCCAGGGTAATGGAAATTGATTCAATATGGTTGGGTATGAAATACATCCGCTTCAGGAGATTTTTCCTTCGGGAGGAAAAATCAAAATACGAAGAAAGGAGAAGATATATTTTCACGATAGAACAAATAAACGGATTTTTTTCATACTTGAAAGGACAGAGTCAGGCGAGCGAAAATACCCGGTCGAACGGCATGAATTCTCCCTCTTGCGCACTTGAATTTTCATTTCTTCTTTTTTTTTCTAGTCCTCTCTCTATCGCTCGGACCATTACCTCGAGCGGCGGTTACAACGGCGATTCGTCAAATCGGGATAAATGTAGTATCAATAACGTTGGGCAGCTGACGCCCCAATCGAACAGAAGGGGATGGAGAAAAAAAATAAATGCAACATGAGTCTGCGTATATATTGTTATAACAACTCGCTCGATTCCAATCACCGGGAGCATTTTTTTAAAATCGATATATAAATGATGAAGTGAGACAAAACAATGAAGAACTGTTTTTAATCAAATATTTTCAATATCAATCTAGAATTAAAGTGTCAGCTTTCATTTTTCAAATCCACATATCTCTACACGTGAATTTGAAGTGAATGAAAAAAATGGAATTGAACGAACAAAAATGGTGAAAAAAAGGGAGAATAAAACACATGGTCAATTGAATCAGTGAAAATAGCTGTAACGTCGGTGTCAGGGAAAATCTTTTGCTCGACTTGTTACACAAACGATTTATCATCGACAGACGGTGGTAAACATATACATTTCGCCCATACTATATCACAAAAAAAAATATATAAAAATCCTGGGGAACCTCTCGCACATGACAAAATGCCCAAGCTCCTATATCAATTTTCCTCTCCACTAAGAGATGTACGAATGGGAAGCGAAGGGGGAAACCGATCGGCCCCCGATATTAATTTGTCGTAGAGGACCAGTCCCTCCATCTCCAACATACACCGGGATAAATCGTCCCGGCGTCTTTTTTTTTTCTCCTTGTATAACTGGGGAGAATGAAGTAGAAATAACATACCACAACTCCACGTGTCGAAGGAGCCCTTTTGGCTCTCGGTAACCTCAAACTAAATAATAAATACGACAGGCTTCTCCGGGTATACCCCGAGGGTGCCATTACGCGGGGGCAAGGGCGCACTGGGACTCCTGTGGAACATACTGTTGACCTCCCGCAGCCCCTGGACCTTCTTCATTTGGTGTTTCGCCCCTTCTCCCTCCGCGCTTCTACAACCCCCGGGAAGAATTCACCCCTGTTGGAGGGAAAAAAAAACTTGGATGTCTAATACACTTAGACAGCGGTGGTTCGAGTGCTGGGTGCCACGCGATTCTGCTCTTGTGGGGCATCCAGACGAATTCCTCAGTCGATCGAGACACCTTCATCCCCCAACTCGTTCTTTTCTCTACACTTTTCTCCTCATACTCCATCTTCATTTCTTTTTTCCCTCACTTCCCCCCTGTCACCTTTCTTCGACTTTTCAACGTGCGGATGGCCCTCCGGGCAGTAAAATACAAAAAAAAAATTTACAGTCCTCTCTCTGTCGTTTCTCAACTGTATATGGGGATTCAGGAGTCCTCGAATGCTCGTTTAAGGGAGTAATGCTAACGACGAATTCGAAGAGTTTGACGGGAAGTCAGTGATAATGGAGCGTCATTGTGCTCTCGGGAGAAACTTTTTTTCAGTCCTTTCTCTCCCGCTCTTTAGTGTATCACCTCGTTTTTTATTTTTACCTCCCTTTCTTTTGAGTTTTTCATTCGGGAGTTTTTTTTTCAATGCGAGGGGGACCAGTGATTTCGAGGTAAAGTAAATCCCTGACAAAAGAATACTTTTCCACAATACAAAAAAAAATTATTTGACAAAGAGTGGAAAAGTGCACGATACTGCGGAGTTATTAATGAAGAATGGAACTGGAAAACAGGAAGCAAAACTCTGGGGTTTGTATTTCGTGGAGAACTGGGAGGAAACCGTTGGGTAGTTTGATAAAAGTTCGGATCTAATTGGTGATTGATCGTAGGTTGTTGAGTATTTTAATGATTTTTACACGGAGGGGTAAGGCGGGGAAAAATTAGCGGAGGAATCGAGTAATTGGAGCGCAATTCAGTTCTAGGTCTTTTCGAATCTTTGTTGAGGAAAAAAATACGAGACAAAAACAATTACTTTCGAGAATTTAATAACACTGAAGGCCATTTTTTCCCAAATTGGAAAATTCATCTGGAATTCCATCAAACA